TTGCTGAGGAATTCTGGGACTTGAAGTCCACAAGTCCTCAAAGGGCCAAGTTGGAAGACCCCTGTAAATGGCTACCACATTGGAAGGTACCAGAAGGAAAACTTGGGAAGTTTCCATTGACTTTTCTCCATGGAGATTCTCAGTCATCCAGGTCATAATTATCCGAAAGATGCTTTTTTTTTTTTTTTTTTGCATGAGGCAAGTATAAATCCTTCCGTTCTTCATCCTCCAGTCAGAGCTGAGGAAGCTTCTTGGAGGAGAAGCGAAACGTCTTCAAAGAAAAACAAAAAAGTCCAGTTACCTCATGAAAAAAGCACCTTTGGGATTTTCATTGACTTAATCCCGATAAGCGTTTGCGCAGGCCTTAGTACTGGCTTGAGAAACTAATGTCTGCAAAAAAGCCTTTATGCAGCTTGGTCCTTAATTGCTTTTTAAGTGATGAGGTCCCATGTTCCACTGCGTAAATTCTGAAGGTCATTTCTGTAGTTTCAGCAGGAACAATCTGGAAACGGAAATGGGGATTTAGTTGCAGGTTTCCTGGAAATAATGGGAACTGGAATTTGCTTGCAGTCTGGGTTTATCGGCTCTAAATTGCAGAAATCTGGATGGCCAGTTGATGGCAGTAAAATATTAAGCTTCTATGCTCCCAAACCTGCTGAAGCTTCAGTAGCTTTGTGGCTTCTATTGCACGTCCATTTCTTTTGCATGGAAAATCCTAAACCCAGATGTTGACTTACTTTTGCGAGCAACTGCTAGGGAAATGCAGGGAAAAAAATGATATGGACATTTCAGAAAGGTCTTGAAATCTGGTTTAAGGCCTCAGTATTTTGGACGGCCCTGGGTTGGGATTTGTGATGCTTTTCAGAAGGCTTTAATCCAAGCGGTCGATCTGGTTTTAATTTTTTTTTTGTTTTATACCTGCCCAGAATCCCTGGAATTGGGTGTCTCTAACAAGTTTAAATTAATAAATAATTAAATTAAATGAATAAATATATCTCCCTTATGTTTGGCATTTTTTTTGAGAGGGAAGAAGAAAAGGTACTCTTGTTATTGAGTTACAGTATATCGTCAAATTTTGCATCCCCTCCCAAGTACGTCTATGGCCGGGGTAGGGCACCCTTGGCTCTTTTATGGACTCGTGGACTTCAACTCCCAGAATTCCTGAGCCAGCCGTGCTGAGGGAAAAGGGAGAGGTTTCCAAGCTGAGCCATGCTGGCTCAGGAATTCTGGGAGTTGAAGTCCACGAGTCATAAAAGAGCCAAGGTTGCCTACCCCTGGTCTATGGAGATTCTCAGTCATCCAGGTAACGGTTGGCTCAAAGATGCTCAAAGAGGCCATCTATGTTAAAATTGAACAGCCCTCTCTCAACAGGAGGGAAGGGATATGATACCACCTGTCTCCTATTTGCAACATGGGTCTTTCAGCAGTTCCAAGATGGTTCCCCAACCATTTTCACTATTCAGGTGACCCTGAGGGCACAGATCAATCTCCAAGTGGCCTCAATGATTCTCAGAGGGAGTACTAACGACCAGATGATTGCAAAGGTCTTTCCCTCCTCACCAGTCAGAGCTGATGAAGATTCTTGAATGAGAAGCGAAACGTCTTCAAGGAAAAACAAGGTCTAATTGCCTCATGAAAAAGCACCTTTGGGGGCCTCACCAGTACGATGAAATTTTGAAAAAAAAAACACCTGCCATGGTTCCGACAGTTGAAACTCTTCCAAAGAACTTTGAGGCATTGTTAACCTTACAGAATCTTTATTTTGAGTAGCATATCATCGGAAGTGCATAATCGGCGCCAAAAACTGAATTCCCTTCCCCTGAGCACATTCAATTAGCAGTCATAAATCACATCCCCCAATTAGCTTGAAACGCGGGCTTCCTCTCCAGTTTTCCGGCCCGCCAATTCTTTATCAGCTCTGGTTACAATAACCTTGATTCTCACACTAAGTTTAGTGTTGTTATATCTAGCTTAGGGATAGGCAACCTTGGCTCTTTTATGACTCGTGGACTTCAACTCCCAGAATTCCTGAGCCAGCCATGCTGAGGGGAAAGGGAGTGTTTCCAAGCTGAGCCATGCTGGCTCAGGAATTCTGGGAGTTGAAGTCCATGAGTCATAAAAGAGCCAAGGTTGCCTACCCCTGGTCTAGCTGGACTCTTGTTGACATCCTCTCTTCCCAGCATCATCTAACTCTAAAGGTAAAAGGTGGCTACATTTCCCTCTGTTGTCAATGCAAAAACATCCGATGTTAGCAGCGTTGACAGCACCTTTGCGATATCTTGTTTTTCCTTGTGTTCTTCAGAAGTGTTGCCCTTTTACTAGCTGGTTATTGTAGGATGAAAACCAAGAATGTGATTTGGAGGGGAGAGAGGAAAACTAGATAGGCTAAAAATATAGCTGTTCTCAGGAGACATTAGTGTTGATCCTACGGTACTGCTCTTGAACCCATTCCATCAAAACAGAAGACATGTTGATAGGAGGGGAAGCCAGATCCACTTAACAATCACGTTACTAACTTAACGGCAGCGATTCACTTAACAAGTGTGGCAAAAAGGTCGTAAAGTGGGGCAAAGTTCACTTAAGAACTGTCTCACTTAGTAACAGAAAAGTTGGGCTGGACTTGAGCAGGAGGGGGGGGTTGGACTAGAAGACTTCCAAGGTCCCTTCCAGCTCTGTTATTCTGTTAACTGTATATCAGACAGCAAGTGATCATGTAATAAAAGATGCTGATTACATGTGAGAATAGAACAAGAGAAAACATTGATCCTAGTGTGGTAAGAACGCACACACACCCAAATCCTTTTTACTATGTCCCCCAAATCACAAGAATAAAGCTCGGAAAAAGACATACAGAAGCCATGTTTCATTCATGAAACCCCTGGCTATTGCGAAAAGCAGAAACATCGAATCAGGCCTGTTGATTCACAAACAGAGTTCAGCGGAAGTAATAAACAGACTAAAGATAAGGGGATAAAATTAATTACATTTGTTTGACAAGGAAGGCGATAATTAAGACCCATCACAGAGCCTTTGCAAAACAAGTAAAACCAATCAAATAACAAAACACACAAAGCAAGCCTCTAGATTGTGAAATGCTGTGAAAACGGTATTAAAAATCCATGTACTCCTCAAAGCAATCGGTCAGCTGTCCAGAACCGCACGCTGTTCCTGGTTCTGCTCGTCAATAAACAGGAACCTTCTTTCAAAAGCAGACTCCATTTTATTCCCAGCTTGGAACTGGACCTGGTTTTTCTTCCCACACTAGATAACCTTCCACAAGTGGTAAATTTATGAGTTACTCCCCAAAATTGATGGCTGGGGAAGTCTGGGAGTCGAAGTCCACATTTCCTTGAAGTTGCTGAGGTTGAGAAATAAGGCTCTACTAACCACCCCAGGGCAATGAAAAATCACAAACAGCTTCTACTGTGACAGCCGTTTGTGCACCATAGTGAGTGAGGCTCCTTCTCTTTGGCTTAAAGCAGGAGGTAAATCTCATTCTTCTGAATTTATAGAAATGAACTCCTGTCCCGTCCCATTTTCAGCTTCCAGGTTTGCACTCAAGAGGACATTGGGTTTGTCTCCTGAAGCAGGACACTGAAGAGCTTCAGTCTCCAAACCCTCTTATTGTGGATTTGCAAAGCTAACTCATGTTCCCAGACATGTTCGGCAATGATTCGATTTCTCAATCTGGAGGACTTTCTGGGATCAGCAATGAAAGCCGGCCCTCGTTGAAGGAAAAATCTTTCATCAGGGTCCAGTCCAAGCCGGGAATAATCAAAATGGAGACTGCTTTAGAAAGAAGGTTGCAGTTTATTGAAGAGGAGAGCCAGACAGAATTCAGAATAGAATAGAACTGGAAGGGACCTTGGAGGTCTTGTAGTCCAGCCCCCTGCTCAAGCAAGATGGCTCTGGGAAAAACTGATCACATGTAGCAGGGAGTGGTGGGTTTTTATACCTTCCTGGGCTTTTGTTTGGAATTGTTCCTGTGGCGTGGACTTTGATCTGAGTCTCAGTGTGCCTTTGTGGTATTCTGATGGTGGTGGGTTAATGCTATTGTGTCCCAAAGGTCATATCCTGCTTCCCTGGGGCTGGGGCTGATGACTATGTCCTGTGTTGGACTTTTTGGTGTGAGGGATTGTTGATTCTAGGGATTTTTGTCTTTCGAATCCCATCAGCTTCCTGGCTCCCATCTTTCTGACAAGATTATCGCATCTGCATTTCTGCAGACCTGGTTTCTGTTTGGGGCAGAGAGACTTGGGGGTGGTTGGTTTCTGCCTTTAAAATCCTTTGGGGAAATATAATATTCTGCCTTTTTAATATTTCCCAAAATATTTCTTTCTCTGGATTCTTCCCACACCCTGACCGAAAAAGATGTTCAGAGGATATTGTCACAGGACTATCAGCTTGCAAGGGTGAGTTTTATGGAACAGCCCATAAAATATATAGGCAATGCTTTCCTCTCTGCCAACTCTTATTTAAAGTACTTTCAGAACAATTTAAACTCAGGCTAATTTGACCTTCAACGAAGTACAGTTAAACTAAAACCAATTAAAATTAAATTACATTAAGTGGAGCACCATTATCAAATGAAGCATCCTAATTTAGCCTTTGAAGCACCAGCCAGGAAACCCGTTTGTTCCTTGGCTTAATTTAAAGAGATTACTTTAAAGTTTAAGACGATGGTTATTGATCTGGACCAGAAAAAAAAACCAAAATTAGCCTGAAAAATCAGCAGACAAGTCCCGGTGGAGGGGGGGGGGAAGGAGCGCGCTGAAAAGAGGCCTACGATTGGAGGACATAAAAACGTACCGCGCGCCAGAGTCGGTGAAAGCCGCGTTCCAATTGGCTGAAAGAACGACGTTCCTATTGGACAGCCCAACCTGGAGCGCGACAGCCACCCAATCAAAAGACGCCGCTAGAAACCCGAGGAGTAAATAAATAGGCGGGGTTGCGGGCCAGCGTTTCATTCCGTGCTTTGGAGAGACAGGAGCTGGTCGATCATGTCTGGACGCGGCAAGCAGGGCGGCAAAGCCAGAGCGAAGGCCAAGACTCGCTCCTCCCGGGCCGGGCTGCAGTTCCCGGTGGGCCGCGTGCACCGGCTGCTTCGCAAGGGCCACTACGCCGAGCGGGTGGGCGCCGGCGCTCCGGTCTACCTGGCCGCCGTGCTGGAGTACCTGACGGCCGAGATCCTGGAGCTGGCGGGCAACGCCGCGCGGGATAACAAGAAGACGCGCATCATCCCGCGCCACTTGCAGCTGGCCATCCGCAACGACGAGGAGCTGAACAAGCTGCTGGGCCGGGTCACCANGTCATCAAAGGGCCAGCTTGCAAGACCCCTGATTTAAGCTTAACAAGATGCTGGACTGCTTAACACTCAAAGACACCCCGATTTTGGGAGGGGGGGCTGATAAGTTGGTTCCTGAATATGAGACAGTTTCTTCTTTTGCAAAGGGGCTTCCACGCCTAAGGTATTCAGGGGTTGGACTAGAAGACCTCCAAAGTCCCTTCTAACTAGGGGATTCTATGATCACATGTGAGACTCGAATAATAGAAAACATTTGATTCGAGGTAACATTCCATACATTTATTGAGTTATATTACTCTTTGTTTTGCTGGCTGGGCTGGTGTTAAAACCTGGAAGTGTATTCCAAGGACTTTCAGAATACACACGTACGTAATAAATGCACAAGCATTTATTAAATATCCTATCGCTATCAAGTGACTCGCTTCTTGGTTAATTTTAATTTTTTTAACTGAAAATGTAATGTCTTAATAAATGCACAAGCATTTATTAAATATCCTATCGCTATCAAGTGACTCACCTCTGGGTTGATGTTTTTTTAACTGAAAATATGTCTTAATGCACAAGCATTTATTAAATATCTTAAATGCACAAGCATTTATTAAATATCCTATCGCTATCAATTGACTCACTTCTTGGTTAATTTTAAGTTTTTTAACTGAAAATGTAATGTTAGTAAATGCAGAAGCATTTATTAAATATCCTATTGCTATCAAGTGACTCACCTCTTGGTTAATGTTTTTTTAACAAAATATGTCTTAATTAATGCACAAGCATTTATTAAATATCTTAATAAATGCACAAGCATTTATTAGATATCTTAAATGCACAAGCATTTATTAAATATCCTATCGCTATCAAGTGACTCGCCTCTTGGTTAATGTTTTTTTTTTAACAGCAAAATGTAATGTTTCTTTTAAGCCTTTGTTTTAATCGTAAATCGCCAAGATTGTGATATCTAAGTAAAAAAACGTTACCCTGAAGAGGCTGATTGCCAGGTTCAAAATTCCAAAGGTGCTTTTTCATATTGCAACTGGACTTTTTTCTAGAAGAATCTTCACATTTCGCTATAAAAATGTTAACAACCCAAGCCTAACAATTCCAGGCAAGTCTCGCAAAAGGATCCGAGATGGAGAAAAAAGCGTTTTTAGCTTACTTACATAGCCGTTACACCACCGAGTAGTTTTTACTAATACACATCTCCAGTTATTTTCATGAAGCAGAATTATCTCAGATTTTTATATATGCTGCAACTCTTTTTCTGAAATTGTGGGTGGCCCTTAAAAGGGCCGTTATTTTTGTCTCTTTTGTCTGGAATCAGCCCCCAAAGCCGTACAAGGTACGCCCTTGGCGCTTCAGCGCGTACACCACGTCCATGGCCGTCACTGTCTTCCTTTTAGCGTGCTCTGTGTAGGTCACGGCATCGCGGATCACGTTCTCCAAGAAGACCTTCAAGACTCCACGGGTCTCTTCGTAGATCAATCCAGAAATTCGCTTCACGCCTCCGCGGCGAGCCAAGCGGCGAATAGCCGGCTTCGTAATGCCTTGGATGTTATCGCGGAGCACCTTCCGGTGCCTTTTCGCTCCCCCTTTGCCCAAGCCTTTTCCGCCTTTCCCGCGACCAGACATCCTCAAAATCCAGCAAAAACTGACTTCGAGACTTGGCCGAGGGATGGCTTATAAAGAAGGAAGTCCGACCAGAAAGAAAACTTCGCCACTCTGAGCTGGAGTTGAGTTAGGTCGCTATGGTCCAATCAAATGCGAAGCTGACCGCTCAATTCAGCCAATTGCAGCTCGGCCCTCCAAATTCAAACGTCACAAACGGATGTTTCCTAGGCTTCAGCCAATCAGGCTCTGCGAAGCGCCTATAAATACCCCGAAGAGCGGCACCGCAGTTTACAACTCCGGTTGCAGCTTCCCGAGATGGCTCGTACCAAGCAGACCGCTCGCAAGTCCACCGGCGGGAAGGCGCCCCGCAAGCAGCTGGCCACCAAGGCGGCGCGGAAGAGCGCTCCGGCGACGGGCGGCGTGAAGAAGCCTCACCGCTACCGGCCCGGCACCGTGGCCCTGCGGGAGATCCGCCGCTACCAGAAGTCGACGGAGCTGCTGATCCGCAAGCTGCCCTTCCAGCGGCTGGTGCGCGAGAT